TATAATATATATATATATTATATAAAGATGAAAGAGATGTGAGATCCCGGAGTGGAAACCGCAAGGCACAGCTTCCAGGTGCCAGGCCGGTCTCGTGGGATCCCGCGGTTTGGAGGTTCCTGGAGGAGGCGAAAAAAGGGAGGAGGGCTTCTCCCTGGCGCCCCCCCCAAAGCCCGGGCCCTGTATAGGAGCCTGGGTAGGTCGGAGGGACGAGGTCCAGCGTGCCGGCGGGAGCTGCCTAAAAAAAAGGATAAATGTCAGGATCGTAATGTCATGATATTATTTTCCTTTCTTGATTTTGAGGAACTGTCGGAGAGAGCCTCCAAGCCAGTCTCCGCGGTTTCTGCCTGAGAGGATGCCAAGGAGAGCAGCAAGGGCCCGCTTCTGGGCTGATCTGAACCTCCTCGCCCTTCGGAACAACACCACTTTGGGACGCCGTGATGGCAACTTCAATATCCATGACCTACAGTCGCAGCAAATAACTTCCAACACTCCGGCGAAGCAACGAGAAAGCCCTGGGCCTGCAAATCCGACGTCGGAGCAGACCTGGGCACCGATGAATGCGGCTCTGTGCCCCACTTGCAGTAGCAAAGCTAAACTCTCAGAGCCCTGCGGATTTTTGTGATCGAAGCCCCCGTAGGAAAAGAGGAGGCTTCCCATACCTTCATTCTTCAAAAATATAATACAATTGCACAAAGGGGCGCCCTTGATAAGACGTGGCAGCAGCACCCCAAGAAGAGTGCCGGAATCTCTGAAGGCTACAGAGGTTGTGCCATTCGCAGGTCTCCGTGTCATAGACTGCGGTGGGCAAAATCCTAGGTGCCGCTTGGAAGTCACTGCAGCGGCGTCCACGTCATGTTCAAACAGTCACTAATATCTTCGTATGTCATTGTGGCCTATACAGCCGAGGACCAGGCTTGTTGACCTCTGGCCCGCGCCCGCCGACGATCAAGAGCTTGGAATCCAGGAAAATGCAGGAATGCTGAAACCTCCGCGGGGGCGGAGGCACCGCCAGGCTCTGCAAAGGCGGGAGCCTCTCCCCTTGCCTAGGCTCCGGGGGAGCACCACGCTTTGCGGGAGCCTCAAATTGGGGCATTCTGCACTCCAAGATTCTTGAGTTGGCTTTTTATGTCCGCCTCCACCCAATCCCAACGGCCATCCCGATGTTGTCGCAGACCCCAGGTGTCCTGCTTTGAAGTGCCATTTGGGATGGCTTGAGTAAGGGCTTTGAGCACTCCTTCAGGGATTTGTTCTCGGCAGTCCGGCCACCAAACACGACCATCATGCCAGCAGCAGGCCCTTCACGACACACCTTCCGAAGCACATCTTTAAAGGGAATTCTTGGCAGCGACTCCATTTCTCTTTCTCAGGCCGGCCTCTGCCGAATGGTAGACGCGTGGCAAGGGCCCACGCTTTCCCATGACGGCCACCTCTAAATTTGAGGCAAGAGTCAGAGCTGAATGGAATCTTAGAATTCTTAGAACTGCTCTCAGAACTCTGACGGCGGCCAGCAGCTGCCTCCTGCCACTGAAATGGCGAACGCTCCACGTCCAATATCCATATATCGCACTCGGCCTGGCAGCACCGGGCGGGGCAGTGTGCGGCCGTCTTAGAAGAAGTCTTTAGCACTTCCAGCGCTCCGGGCCTGCTGGCCATTGTTCCCGCCGAAGACGATGAGCAGCGGCTTGTTGAAAATCATGGTGTGGCCTTGGCGTGTCATGTGCTCTGTCCATGAGCTGCAGGGCCAAAAAAGAACTCTCTGAGGGCTCTGTCCGTATCTTCGGCCCGGGGTAGTTCCCATCACGGGAACAGACATCCACTGAGAGCTTTCCTGAGCTCAGAAAGGGAGCTTCCCGGCCGGGCACTTCCCGGCCCGGCCTCGTTGCGGATGTCTAAGAGGTATAGCTCGTCAGACCTTAGACTTCCAAACTTTTCAGACCCAAAAGATGGACAACCAGCAAGGTGTGCCAGTCTGAGCATGCTGCGACAGACTGCCACCCCCTGTTGCCCCACCATAAATCACCTTAGAATCAGCGGACACAGTGAGACCCGGTCGAGTCTTTGGAGCTCTGCACGATTTGTGCATCCCAGGCTCCATCTGTGAGTGGTCTACGCATGCTGCCGCATGGGCCGCACGGGCAAAGGGCAAGGTTCCTGAAACCGGAAAAGCTGCTGGCGCTGCTGGCTGCGACTTCCCGGCGGGGAATTCTATCCCCCCCCTCTGACTCTGTTGCGCACCTCCTGCCTGAACACGCGACCAAGTGTTGGTGTGCACCTGGAAAACGCAAAGAGACACGACGGCGTCATGAGGGGCCGCCGTTCTCATTCGGTGCTTTCCGTGCTCCAGGCGTTGAGCATGAAAGCATCCGCAGTGATGGTATAGCGGCCTAGTCCAGTGAAAGCATACTTTATGCGAGTCTTCGCACGAGGCTGGTTTAAGGGTCCGAGGCTCTGGCCTGAATCCCCTGTGGCACCACCAAAGAGAACAACCCGGTTGTCTCCCACAAATGTTGTGGTGTGTCCGAACCTTCAAGGGCCGAAAGTGAGGCGGCCCCCCATCTTGCAACAAAGCACCCCTTGGCTCAAGGGCTGATGACCATCTCTCCAAAACACAGTTAGAGTCTTGATGATGATGCTGATGATGCTGATGACGCGGAGAAGGAGGAGGTGGCGGCGGTGGTGCATCGGTCTCCCTTCCCCGGCCTGGGTGACGGCGCCTCGCCATTCTGTGACTCCTGAAGGCTGCTGGAGAGTCACAACATTCGGCGAAGACCCGACAAGGAAACGAACACCCTACAAAGAACCCCAAAAAAGACGACTCCAAAACCGATCGTGCTGCGCCTTGACGTACTCGGGCCTGGTAGGAGTTCCGCCTCGGCCTCGGGCCTCAGAGCGTGGAGAGCCCGGCCGGGTTTAGGGTTTCAGAGTCTAGGGTTTTTGGGGTTTTAGGGTTTAGGGCTCTCTGAGTGTGCCGCTTGACTCATCGCTCCCCCCCGAAGGGGAGAGGGGCACACGACCTGGGCAAGAAATCCGCACACAGTAATACGGCACAGTGTCCTGAGAGTGCCGCACCTGTGTCCGCGCCTAGAGCACCCGCAAGTCTACTCAAGTCTCCGCATTCTTCCGTCTAAGCCTTTTGAGCCGAAGCATTGCATGTACACAGGGCACAGGCAAACACACACTGGCACACCATCGGCTGCTACAGCATTGAGCGTTTGAGGATCGCTGAAGCATCCGCATTTGAAGCAACGCAGAACTGTGATGCTCGAGCTTGAAGACCTGGATCTTCGAGTTGGTCTGGTCGAAATCCAAGCCCTGTGCGATGCACTCTGCTGCCTCCAGCTTTGCGGATTGGCGCTAGAGCCGCCTGGTGGAGACTTTGTGGGCGCTGCGGCTTTGTCCCCCACTTTGGCCACTGCTTCGGCGTCGCTTGGACTTTGCAGTTCATCTCCCTCTCCGTTCTCCCACGCCTCTCGGCCGCGCTGATTCGGCGGTCCACAGCTAGCTGCGGAGGAGTCTCGTGGTCGGAGCTGCCTTCCAGCGACGACAGCTCCGGTCTGGCACGATCGAAGTCGGCTTCAGTACCGCAGAGGAGTAGGTTGCTCGGTCCAGTCGCTCGGAAGACTTAGACTTGAAGAAATGCGTTCAAGCTTTCTCCGGCTGTAACGGTGGTTCGCGTCTCGCCTGCGCAAAGACATTCTTCTCGGCATCGAGGCTCCCGGCATAAGACACATTGCAGTTTGCTCTAGCTTCTCGCGCAGATCTGATGTCGCCAGCACCATCCTTGCAGAGGCAGTGACGTCCTGAGCAAGGATAAATGACGGACCATCCTTTCCGAAAAAACGAAGCATGCTCTGAGGTCGCGGACGCAAGGACACGCAAAAGATCCGATCTGCCCTGTGCAAAGGTTTGCTTTCGCCACCCCTACATTGAAGCACTTCGACGCTGCAGGCCTGCGAGAAGGCTGTTGACTGATGAATGGGCCAACGTGCCCTAATTCTCCAAGCAGCTGATTCAAAATGGAACCGGTTTCATGGGCATGCAGCTCAGCTGAGCGCGTTGTCGTTGCCACGGGTTCCTAGTGCGCCAATGCCGAATCTGATTCTGCCAACAGCAGCGATTCACAATGCGCATCTCGGCGGTCATGGCGGTCACGAACATTTGGGAACAATCGGACAACAAATCCCTAGACGCAGCTATTGCCCTTTTTGGTACGTGCCGGGAATTTGGAGATGCCAATACACGCCGAACGGGGCAAGAGGCAGAGGCGAGCATCCAACGATGGCCTCAGACCGAGTGACCGAGCACATCCAAACGGCCAACATCATTGTCTTCCCGGGCTTGAAGGTGCCATCGAGCCATGCCGCCTGAGAATAAGCATGCATGTTGGAGCACCTTGCCGTGAATCCGTTTTCTGAATTTGGGGACAACCATCGGGGCCCACTGCCCGACAGCCGCAAGAGAGATGCGGCATGTCGTGTCAATGCTTTGCAGGCTTAGGGGATTCCAGCATTCCGAGCCTCAATAGGTTTGGCGTTCCCGGATATCCGGGCGTGCAAACATGCGTGCATGCTTGCTTGCGCGCGCGTTGCGATGCGCATGTCTGTGCTTCACGCGGCGGCTGGCAAACCCAGCCCCTGGGTGGAAGCATGGCAGGCCTTCGTTGCACTGTGAGTTCGTGCTCCTCTCTTGCGGAGCCCTCAGTGTTCATAAACTGTTCGCAGCGGTGGCCGGTGCCAGTGAGCCAGTGAGGCCGGGGTGGCAGCGACACAGCAGCACCAGAAATTCCAGCAGCCTGCAAAAGCTTGCAACAAGTGCAGACGCAGGCGCCCGCTCCAACAAGGACTGCTTGTCCCTGATGGCCTGCACAGCAAAGTGTCCCGATGAAATCAATTCGAGATCTTCTTCAGACTCGTCCTGACGAAGGACAACGTTCAGTGCCCGCAGTGCTGTCGCGGCCATGATTGTTTCAGGTCATCGGATTTTCACGCTCTGCATGCCATAACTGCGCACAGACTTTCACTTGAGTCCAGGGCCCAGGGTGCCCAAATAGGCCCCCCGTCCCACGGTGCCCGACATGCTTGCTTCAAGGAGGAATCATGGGGGCACTTCCTGCTGCAGCCACGATATCTGGATTGTCTGGCGCTGCCGGAGGCAAGCAACGAGGCTTCCTCTTCTGAACCGGCGTGGCTCGTCGATTCTTTTCGAGGCACAGCAGAGCATCTGACATTCTCAAATGGGTCTACGAAACTTCAATTCCAGTGAGAAATGTGATGGGATCCGAGCTTGCCTGAGTTTTGCACGGTTTGGGGCTGGACTGAGTTGCAAAGCGGCTACGCTCTTTGCACAACAGCTGGTGCAGCATGATGCAGCTGCGCACACGAAAGCGATTACGTATGACTACCTATCCGCTGTGTGCGCAGCATGCCACCCTTTGAGCCCCAAGCCATGAACTTATAGACCCTGCTCAGTGGCTCAGTGTTCATCCCCGACAGGGCACGCACACGTGACCAGGCGCCGGGCTTCAACAGCTTCCGTGCTCCAAGCGATGAGCATGAGAGCAAGCGCGTGAGCTCAGTTGGAAATGGCGCGGCATAGCAGCCAGACACATGTGGAGTGTTGAATTGCAACATAGCTTGACTGGTGCGGAACTGCAGCATGGTCCCAGCCTTCTATAAGGATTCCGAACAAAGAAGTTAGCATCGTGCATGATTTGTGATTGAGGACGAAATTCACTGCACGGCAGCGACGACCGCCATAAGCAGACTTGACTGCGAGAGAGGCCAAGATCGCTGACCACATCATGGTGAGCTGACACGGACATCGCCGTGGGAAGTCGCCGTTGATGGAGGCGTATGCGTCCGAAGGGGCGTGTCGCAATCAAGCAGGGACCGCTGAGCAATAAAGAAAACATCGTGCCAAAACTGGAGATCACGCTTTGTAGGCACCTGCCAGCCTGCTGGCAGACGTGGCAGGGTCGAGGTTCATCGGAGCTGCATGAATCAACTCATGTGATCTGATAACTTCTGCAGTGTCATGTCCTGGGAAAACTCAGTTCGCGGAGCCTGGGCTTCCTGTGAGCCTGAACCGGGGCGATGGACAGGCAAAAACGCAATTCAATCAACTCGGCCCAACGGGATGATGCAAAGACTAACACTTTTCTGCACGCAGAAGGACAGAGAGCTTGCGAATCTTGAAACGAACGACTTCATGCGATCAGCGGCAATGTTGGCCGCACAGATGCTGCACATGTGTACCACAACAGTCTGCCCTAAAGCGACTTGCTTGTGGCACAGTTGCTGCTGTTGAGTGACCTCAGCGAAAGTGTGGCCCTCATCGTGATCCTCACTGCTTCGCTGAGGATAGCAGGCGATGCTCTGGAGCATCTCCTTCAAGCCTTGGCGAATTGAAGTCTGGTTGAAGACTGACGCGTACATGTGACTCAATTTGCGTTCTGCGGTAAAGAAGGCACGCTGTTAGATGAGATGCGCCGGCCCCAAGTTTACATTGTCTTAAACTCTCGACCTGGCCTGCGCTTCTTCGCCCTGCAGCTCTTCGAGGCTCCGCCCTTCAGCGACTTTCAGGGACCTCGAGGCGTGTTCCGTGCGCTGGGCAGCGATTCATTATACATGTGGAATCGGGGCTCTATGCCTTATTGTCACACGCGTTTGTTAAAATATTGCCGAGAAGTTGCTGAATGGTGACTCGAATCGCCATTCTAGTCCCATGGCCACCAGCTCGGCCCTGTCCCGCTGCTGTTGCGCATGCGGCTCCTGCTGCTGCTCCTGCTGCTGCTCCTGCTGCTGCGGCTGCTGCGGCTCCTGCAGTCTCTGCTGCGGCTCTTGGCAGCCGCAGAGCAGGGACCAGAGCAGGCTGCCTTGGCGAATTGAAGTCTGCTTGAAGACTAACGGATGCTGGATTGCACGTGCTCTCGCTACTCGTTCGACACCTCAGCGTACACAGTATGGATAAAGTAATGCAGACCGGTGACATGCGGTTTGCGCTTCCGCGCTGGACTGCGCCATGGGCCCAGCTGTTGAGCCGACTCATGACAAGGCTCTCTCATCCGCGAGTGCACGGAGCAACGCACTACCTTTCTAAGATGCCTGTGTCAGGCGACCACAAGCTCACGGCTCCAAGACTTGAGGGTGACTCAGAACTTTTTCGCCAGAGTGTGGTGGCACAGCAGCCTCAAGTAGCCGGGCAATGTGGAGGGAGGAGATTGACAATCTTGTTGACAAACCCAGCCAATGAGTTCGACGAAGGAGGACGAAGATTTGGGCCACAAAGACCCCTGCGGCGGGTCAGAATCATTGCTCTTTCTGTTTGTCTATCCGTTTTTCTCTGTCTGCCTGTCGTCTTCTCTGTAGTCTCTTGTCTTGTGCCTGGTCTCTTCTCTTTTTCTACCCTCTCGTCTCTGCAGTCTCTGCAACTGTCCTCTCCTCTTTTTGCTGAGCAGCATGTTCAGGCGACCTTGTCCGAATGTCTGCATTGGCAGCCACGGAAGGGGTTTGCCAACTCTCAGCAGGCTCAAGCCCTCACTGGGCGTAGACTTCTCGGTCACCCGGGTCACGGCCCTCGCCACAGAAAAGGGCAAACGGCAGAGGGGACAGGGCTCAGCACAAAGCCGTGCGCCTCTAGCTGTGGCGGCCCTGGGTTCGGGCGCAGGATCTGCCGCGGTCGAAGCTGGGCCTCCACAGGCTCCAGGCGCCCAGGCCAGGCGAAGACGCGGCGCAGCTCTCGGGGCACCTTTTCCCCGACACACTTTCGACTCAGAAGCCGCTCAAAAAAGAAACCAGCTATGTCCCTTCTACTGCGCGTCTTGGGCTCCTGGCCACCTCGCGCAGGTTGAAGAGGCGATCGACGCGCGGCGGGAAGACTTTGCCCTGACGCTGCAAACTCAAAGAGAAACATGTGTCCTCTCTGGTCGCTTATATACCCTATATAGGGAATATAGCCGTCTGCAGGGCGCTGCGGCGCAACGCATCTTCCTATACGTCCCATCTCTGCTCAGGGCTGAGGTCCAAGGAGTCGCTGCTTAACCTGGCTGCCCTAGGCTGGAGGGACCCGACGTGAAACAGATCTGGCGAGGCATCCCATGCGACGCGAGCACACCCGCATCAGCAACGCACCAAAACAGAGCTGGCATCATCACATCCCATCACATCCAAGATCCCACATCCACCCGCGTCAGCAACTAGCAACGAAGAGAGCAGGGAGTGGCGGTGGGGGCTCTGCTTGATGCCTCCATCAACTCGGGTTTCGGCCGGTTTCCAGGCCCGACTGCTAATGCAGATAGAAATGCAAACGCCTCGCTGCAGTATGCTGGCTGTCGTGAAGATAACTTTGGAACCCCAGAAATACTAATCTATTGGAGCCGCAGGTTTGCTAACGGGTCTAGGAATGTGGTATATCCCAACCTCCGCAGCGACGACTCGTGGCGGGTCTGTGGAGCTCGTCAAAGGCCGCCTGGGTCGGGCTCGGTCGCAGCCAAACTGTGATCTCGAGCCCAGAAGCGGGCCACAACACAGAGAATGACAGGGTGCAGCAAGTTAACGTGGAAGAGAAGTCGTTACGATTCCGGGACGCACTGCGAACTGCGACCGGCCACGCATAATCTGCCCAAGATGCGCCAAGTGTTGAGAGATGCACTCTGCCAATGCTTTCGCATCGTTGCAATCCTTAGCTGCAGAGTACCGGAGAGCGGCTCGGGGCCATGTTCTGGCAATAACTGAGAACTTTCGATAGGTGTCACGAGTAGGGGCGTTCCAACTTTTTGCACGTATCAATCGTAGAAGGAGCTTGGGAAGCTTGAATGAACCTTTGAAAAGTTTGGAGAATGGAAAGTTTGCAGTTCGTGAAAGTTTCCAGATTGACAACAGGCGCGCGAGCGTGGAGTTTATGAATTTTATCAACTTCGGAATCCAAGTTGAAAGTTTGAAGCCGTGGCGATGTGTGCGCGACGGACTCCCAGGCTCGAGTCTGAAAATTTCAACAGAGTTTGAACAGCCCGAGATTGAACACTTGAGAGTTTGTCAGTTAGAAAGAGTGGAGTTAAAACGTTTCGAAGGTCAACACGCAAAAACATCCTGGAAGTTTCAAGTCTCAATTTTCGAAAGTTCCAAAACGGTGAAAGACACGGAGTTTGAGAGTTCGAGCGCTTCAAAGTTTCGGAGTTTGAAGGTTCGCACGAAAGCTTTTCAATTTTGAAGGTTTGAATGAGTCAAAGTTCGAGTTTGAAAGTGCGCAATTTGAGGTTTCGTGTATGCACTATCTGGTGCTGAGGGTCTCTCTATGTCTTCAGTATGGGAATTAGGGTCGTGATGCAAGGTGCCAGAATAGCCTAGATGCTCAGGTCATATGAACCTAAATTCCAAAGCCGAGGCAAGTTTGACACATTGCATCCGTTGCCCTCGGCGAGTTCAAGATAGAGACGGGATCAACCGACTGAATGATGAGGGGGCAGGTTTAAGACATGCAATGTTTAGGATCAACCACCATCGCCTAGTGAGGGGCTGCGTGTCAGTAAGATATGCGATCAATCGCAGTTACCGAGTGCGGGGAGAATTTGAGATACGGGATGTATCATTGGCGCTTACTGGCCGGGCGGATTTATGGTAATGGAAAGACATAGGATCAGCCGCCATCGCCTAACGGGGGACGGGATTTGCAGTTTAGATATGAGATCAACCGCTCATGAGAGGTCGGGTTTAGGCAACCGCCAATCGCCTCCAGAGAAGCAGGGTCCGAGATATGAGATCAGGCACCACCGCCCAACGCGGGGTCGGCTTCAAGATACAAGCTTAACTGCCATCACTTCATGAGGGGGCGAGTTTTAAGACATGGCACCAGCTGCATTGTTTGAAAATTTGAGACTCCTCAAGCTCTTCAAGTTCAACCCATCGAACTCTCAAACTTTCGAGCTCGAAAGTCGGTGGACCATCGAGCTTTCGAACTCGACGAGTATCAAACCTTCAGACTGAAACTGCAAACCCCGTTCAAACTTCCAAACTCTCAAACTTTCAATCTTTCGAACTCCGAATCAACCCAAGGTTTGAAACTTTCGAACTGTCAGACTGTCGAACTCAGTGGCCAACCGCGGACCGAGCCTGAAGCCCAACCTTTCAAAACTCTCAAAGTTTCCGAACTTACGCTTAGTGTCGAGTTGTCGGACTCGAAACTTTGGAGATAATACCAAACCTTCAGAACTCACGAAGTTTCAGAGTTTCAAAAACTCTCCAACACTTTGAGAGCCGGTCGAACTCGGCGGCGGCAAACGTTTGAAGCTTGAGCTCGAAGCAGCTCGTCGAGCTCGAACATTTGAGAGTTCGAACGCTTGAACGCTTCAAAATCGAGAAGTTCGATTTCTGACGCCCGCTGGGCTTGCCCATAGCAAGGCACCCAAACCTTCGAACTCCAGCGTCTTTCAAAGCCATCAAGGATTGGAACCATCCAACTTAACAAGAAAAAACAAGCTGCTTTCAACCTATGGAAACCTTCTTCGAAGGACGTGACGGGAGACCTGACTCTTCAAAGCGTCGGCAGGAGGTTCGAGGGCCAGCTCCACGATCCAACAGTCCAAGCAGGCCTGCACAGTCTACAATCACCATTACATGATAGTATATCATATTATATACTATACGGATTTTATATTATATTGTAGTATATAATATTACAAGGCTGCCGGTGACCCGGAAGAAGGAGAAAAGGCCTCCAAGATGGAAGACAGGTCACCTTAAATGCAGAGCCACAAAGCTCTCGAGGAGCCAGGGCAATTACAGATATCACTCATCGCTGCAACTCCTCCGTCGGTCCTTGCCCTCATATTCCATGCATTAGGTCTCTCCTACCCTGCTGTTGTAAGTATTAGTACAGGGTAACAGTGTGTCCATCAATACACATGCATGCATGCATACATATATATATATACATATACATACACATACATACATACATACATACATACATACCTACATACATACATACATACATACATACATACCGACACACATCAGTTGTGTCGTTTCGCCTGCATGCACTTACGTCGGCACATGCAGCTCACATGTCTGATCCACCTGCACCCCACGGCCCACCCAAAGGCGGTACCGACCATGCACCCTAGCCTAGCAACACTTGCCTTCAACCGCGTGACTCGGTCGTATCACGAGCAACATCTCTTGACCGAACCCATCAACCACCTCTTCAGTCGCGCTTGATTCTCAGATACTAAGTTGAGTGGTGGCCGGCACTCCGATGAAGAATTCGCACTCCGATGAAGAATTCGCACTCCGATGAACAATTCGTAGCTTAGTCAGTCAGTCTCAAGGATTTTGGTTCATTGAGATGTCGCCTTCGATGAACAGCAGCACCATCGAGACAGTGTGTTTGATTTTGCCAGACTGGCGAAAACGACGACTCTCACTAGTCAATAGGATGCATACTGAACTAGACTATACTAGACGTCTGCGCTTGGACGGTGCCACGAGAAGAACTCGCCACGGGAATTTACTATACTTGTGTACTCAGGAATGCAATCAGCCAGTGCTGCAGCTTCTGTTGGAGGAGCCGTTGTTGCATGGTCAGAAGTCTTTGGGCTTTTGTGAATGAGCCTTTGCCAAGGCCGATGCAGTGGGACGATCAACGCTATACTAGCTACTACACAGATGGAGTCAGCAGAAGCACCAACGAGACTTCTCAAATCAAGGACTTGTTGGAAGCTGCTTAGCATAATGTCCTATAGACAGAAACAAACTTGGACCGTAGTTCGGGGGATGCCGCAAGTCAGCAGCAACACTGAACCGCGAATGCCCCTCTCCAACTCTCTCGAGCGTTCGCAGTACAACTGGCACGAGCTTTCAAGGTCAAAGGCAAGCAGACAAATTTTGCGACGGGCGTCCGTACCACTGCATGCAGCAGAGGCTGCCGACCGCAGGTAGCGTACCGCCGCCGGCTCTGCAATGGACCTGCGAAAGGAGAATTTTATGAGCCCCTCACTCACGACTCGCTGGTAAGGCACATGGCTGTCACTGTTGGTCCTAGCAGCAGAGACCTCTTGCAAAGGCAGCATGCAGTATGAGTGGCGGTGCTGGCGCTCACAACAACAGTAATTGCAGCAGAACGAGCATTGTGAAGAACGTCTCTGCCATAAAGCGTTCATGCTCTTTGGTGCTATACTACTGCTTAAGGCTAAACTATTCCAGTAGACCGACGGCATCACCACAAGCCCGCAATGAGCCTCCTCCCGACCTTCCGCCAGGTCCAAAAGCTCCATCTCGAGCGGCCTCACAGCCACCACTTCCGGGCCTGGCATCTGCTTCGGCGGTCTGGGGAGATCGAGCTTTGAGTGGAAGCCAGCCTCCGGCCGCAGCTTGGCAATGCAACGCGCCAGGGCCTTTCGCCAGAGACCGAAAAGGGCCGCCGCCTTTTGACAAAGATCCTCTTCCTCTGACTGGTGCCTCTGGCCACTCGTCGCCGAATCGCTGCATCGCTGCTGCGGTCACCGGCAGCCTCGCAAGCGGTGACAAAGCAAGCCTTCCTTCAATGTATCCCGTGCTACCGAAGCCCTCCCAGGACCTCGCAGGCCGCTCCCAATCATATCAAAAAAGGGCATCTTGACCCCTCCGGTTTCTTAGATTCTTAGACGCTGCTTAGCTGTTCTGTCGAACATACGTCAGGGTGCAAGTCGTCCGGTTTGCAGTCGTCGTCCGCGGTTCGCTGCAACAGTGGACCCCCATATAGACCCTCCAACAGCAAATGCAGTCTTCAAAAACATGTCAAAGGTTCGACTTGACAGGCATCGTTACGTTAACAGCGTCAATTGCATTAATTTTTGGGCCACTATGTGCCGACAGAGCGGCTTGCAACTAAGGACTGTCCTAAGCCCACTGAGCTTGCCAGAAATGCAGAACATCCTGCAGCGGAACATCCTACAAAGACAACAAAAAGTGACGACTTCCAGGCCGTTCGGCGCCTCCTGGGTGTCACAGCTCACAGCTCTCTCTCACACACACACACAGACACACAGACCCCGAAACCCTAAACCCCTAAACCCCTAAACCCCAAAACCTCTAAACCCCTGCAACCCCTAAACCCCAAGACACCTACAGTACCTCACAGAAGAGGTCGCCTGACTCGAGGCCAGGTTCGCCTGCTTCCGCTCTGCAGCACACGCCTCGTGGAAAGACCCCACACCCTCGTCTCATCAGTTTAGGGGTTTAGGGGTTTAGGGGCTCAGGGCTTAGGGTTTAGGGGCTTAGGGGGTGTTTCTGTTGCGACATCTGGATTCGAAAGATGGCTTGAGACTCTATAGAGGGAGAAGAGCACGCGTCATAGGGTTTTGCCACGCTCTCTCTGCTTGGGGCTGGCTGACTCTGAAACACCTGCAACTCCAACTGACCAGAACATCCCCAGTCGGCATCAGACTTCTGATCACTTGTGGAAGTGTTTTAAGGATCGAACAAAAAATCTCTGCACGGCTCTTTGTCTCAGTTCCCTTTCTGCCCATCCTCCTCAGTGTCGAGGCGACGAGATCCGTGGGCTTGGAGGCCGAGTTGGCTGTCAGCAGAGGGCTTTGGAGCTCCTGCCGGCTGGAAGGGGCGGGGCTTCGCGAAAAAAAGCCCTGAAAGACGGGAAGCTCTCGCCTGGCCTCGTCTCTTGGTGCCGTTGCAGAGTCTCCTCTCGGGCCCAAAAAGATGCTGACGACGAGTCTACGTCATTCTAAGGTCTCGCGGTTCACGTTCAACGTTCGCATCTCGGCGGGGGCTTGGGGGGCCCCGCCTTCGCCAGCTCCCAGCACGGCGTGTTGGGGCGCTTCCATTTGGGGCGGCTCGGGCTCGGGCTCGAACTTCGCCTCGACCGGCAAAGGTTGGTTTGGCCGAGAGCAGCGGATAGCAGCCCGCCCCGCCTCAGCCTTCGCCTGGATTTTCTGAGGCTTCTCCAGAGGCCGCTTGAAGCTGATGCGGCCTCTTAAGTCGCTGAAATGCATCTTAAGTGCAGAACTCGGAGTGAGAGTACTTGGGCCTTGCAGCTTCCTTTGTCCCGGGCAGTGGCGTCGCAACAGCAGAGGCTCCGCCACCTAGAGAAAGGCAAGCAGGGTCGGAGGCTCAATCCGGCCACGACTCAGTCCCTCGTCTACGAGCGACGCTGACAGAGAGACCATCGGAGCATCCTTCAAAGTGCTTGGCTTAGCCTTTGGCCGAGCTTCCACGGGAATCAGAGCACCGCCCGCCAGCAAGCCGGACCGCTCGCGGTCACCATTCGAGCGACAAACGCCAGGGAGGCAAACGGCTTCCCATCGAGGCATGGCCGGGGGAACTCAACAGAAATATGGGGGGCCGTGAGTACTGTATATCATTCTTGTGAAGACGCAGCGGTCACTGTATTTTGCTGCCCTTTGCATGGTGCCGGTCTATTGTGTGGCTGCAGTCTCCGTGTCGCCTGAATCCTCAATAGCTCCGCAAAGAGTTGGAAACTTTAACGCTCCTTGTGGTGTTGGCCCATCACTCCAACTTCCGAGCCAAGCAAAGGATGCTGTGGGCAGAGTGCAAGAGGGTCAAGAAGGTTCGTCTTGACCCTAAGCAAATAACGGATACGGGAGAAATATTCCGCTTGCCTGGAATGATGCGCAATGGTCCGCTATTATTCGTGCTGCAGATTCGGAAAATGCATCATTTTGGCCAAAGCTCGTGTTCAGCTCCGAGGCTGTTGACCGTACCATCTGGCTCGGGGCATCCTTTCCGCAGGATCACCCGAAGAGAACCTGCACTGTGGGCATCAGTCGCATCAAGACGGAACGCTCGAAATTCGCCTTGGGGTTCAAGGGCGTGCCAGCGAAGACAAACCTTGGCATCGGGGCACAGTTTTTGGCCTCTCTCTCTGCGGCCACCTGGGGAGCCCTCTTTCTCTCTGGGGTCCCAGGCTCCTCGAGGAGGATACCCCTTTTCTTGGCCGCGTCGCCCACGGCAATCTGCAAGAGGGCACACAGTCAGGATTCGGGGTCAGGCGCGAAAAAAACAACACACACTGCAGCACGCTGGAGCCTTCGCGTAGCCGTTCTCACCCCAGTCCTGTCATCATCTCAGAGGTTCTTAGCGCTGCGCCCCTTCCTCCAGCGCTGTCCTGGCCCCAAGCATTTTCGATGATCCAGTACTCGACAGAAGCCTCGCTCACGCCCCAGCCTGCCAAGCAAAGCCGCGAATGCAAACGAAGCAGCAAGCCGCAGGGACGGAACTCGGAGTTTCGGCCTAGGACCGTGACAGCCTGGAGTTGGCGCTGGCGATCTCGATCCTCGGTCTCCAAAGCGCTGCATGTGGAGCCTCCGACTCGCCATGCCATGAGAGTCGGGCCACCAGTGGAGAGGCCGTCCGCGTCTCCTCATTTGACAGGTCCTTTTGCGACCTCTGAGCAACTTCCAGAGAGCGAATGCGCCTGGTAGATCCCGGACCTGGCCAGGAGGTGGACAAAAGCCGCTCTCTGGACTGGTCGACTAATAGAACTAGACTTCGTTCGAAGCCGCGATATCCCGAGATGGTGGCGCACGCCGCAGCAGTTCTCTTTTGAGGCACCGGTTGACGCGAAGTGCTGGAGTCGAAAGGCCCCTTTTAACCTTTAGGCCGTCTTTTGCCGAAGGTGGCGGCGCCGGATCCTGTTGCAGGAGCCGTTTAGGAGTTTAGGCGCATACCTTGCTGTGCTGCCTGAAGGCCACTCGGCCAGAGAATCCCACTGCCTGACTGCAGGCCTCCCAAGCATAAGCTTGCGCATGTCTCGACTGGGCGGACATGGCGGATGCCTCCGTCTTCTGCACCAGAATGTTGAAGCAAGGCTCCGGAGATTGCCCTGCCAGGAAAGGAGAAAGAGAGGACGCGGACTGTGTCTGCTTTGGGCCTGCGAAGACCACCTTCGACACGATATTCGCGGCGACCTTTCAAAAAGTATCTTATTAAAGACTAAGGCCGAATTGGCGGCTGGTCTTGCACGCGGCCGGGGGCCCCCGGCCCATTGGCCGCGATAGCCTTCGGACAAAATCACCACCTCCGCGGCGCGGCGCAGCCGAGAGCAGCGCCGAGCGCCAGAGATGAGTCTTGCAGGCTGCAAATTGAGAACGCGCCTCGACCTCCTGGCCCAGCTGCCAGAGGTTCAGGCCCGGGTTGGTCACTGGGGCCAAGCCCGGGCCGCGGGCCCCGGACCCCATGCCCAAGCCCTCGGCGCAGCGGAACCAGTCCTCGGCGCTCTGAACACATCTGAACACGCTGTTTTCCGCTTCCGAGACGCTGGGCCCGGATCCACCACGCACCGGCCGGAGAAGTGCAGAGACGCCAGTGCTTCCACCTTAAGGTCACTTCGGCGCACAAGTCCCGCGCAGAGGCGGCTTCTTGTGCCCACAGCATCGTCTTCCAGCTGCCAGCAGCCGTCCACAAAGAGACCTTGAAGACCTCGACTTGAAAAGGCAACTTAAATCCTGCGATTTCGGCTGCCGCGCCTTCCAGCAAATGCAACTCCAGAAAGGGGCCTGCGCGCCGTCAGCGGGCCGCGTCTTCTCGCCGGCAAACCAGACTTCACTGGGCCGGGTGGCGGCGAAGGGCCTCGGAGCGGCGAAGGTCCAGCTCCTGCAGCGAGGAGAAAGGAGCAGCGGAGAAGTCTCCAGGTCTCTCAGAGGTCGGAGGCCCTTTTTCTGTCGGTGCACGAGAGCGCATGCATCCAGTTATAGGAATTAAGGGGCTTCCTCGGCAGCTGCATCCCAACTACTCTTCTGTAGAGGACTTAGCGCCTCGGAGACAAGTGTAAAGTCTCGACATGGACCATCGCCGTCAGCAGGCTGACATCCGGAAGCCACAGGCCATAGCCCGATCTCATATGCCTCTACCGACGATCTGTATCACCATAGAACATATTAAGCATTTATGTGTCAGATATGCAAGGGAAGTCCAGAGACTCACTGGCTTGCCAGATAAATCCGGATCTTTCCCACCACAGGGACTCGGATGTTCAGAAACGCCCTTGCCGAGACTCTTCAGCACAAGCAGCAGCACGAGGTCGTGTGCTGACGTACAGTTCGGCACTCTAGCTAAGGTTGCCGAAAGGAAATTACAACGCAATCTAGAGAAAACTTAACCCAAAAAAACAAGAGACTTCGGCATCTTTCAGGCGTTTCACGCGTGAAGGTGCCTTGACATGACGCCCAGGTAGAGCGTCGACAGTGAAAGCCCTGTCAGCTTTGATAAGAGACGGTTCCCTCTTTCCGTCGGGCCTTGAAAAGGATCTGCCGTGGCTCCGGCCTAGCAGCAAACAGCCATCCGTTGATCAAGCGGCACAGCACCTGCGGTCACCTGCAGCCGTGGTGGCATAACCGGGTCTGTATCCACAGGCACTGCGCCGTGCCGAAGGCGAAGGAGCTCCGGGCTATCGCAGATCAGGGACCGAGGAGCTCCTCCTCAAAGGATTCTCGTCTTTCGAAGGCTCCCCGAATTCCAGGAAGGTATTCTTGATCCGGACGTGCTCCGACTCTGTGACTTGCGGGCTCCAGTCAAGGGAAGCCAAAGAAGCCGCGAGGGAGTCGGGGGACCAGTCGGCAGATCCCGAAGCCGAAGGCGTGCAAGTCTCGTCAGAGCTCAACTCTTCCATCTCCTCCGCCTCCTTCTCCTTCTCCCCCTTCTTCACCTCCGGAACCTCAGAGTACTCCGCCTCTGCCTCACTCCAGTCCCGAATTCTCACCGAGAAGTCCAGCGCAAAGCCTTCAAAGCTCTGTGGGCTCTGAGAGCTCGCAGAGCTCCGAGTACTCTGCTTGCTCTGCTCCCTCATCGGGAGCTCCTGGGGAAACCAGCGCTGGATGGGAGCCTCCTGCGGCGGAGGGGCCTGGTTCGTGGGGTCTCGAAGCTCCTCCGTCCCGTGGGCGTACTTGCACCTTAAGAACACACGGCGGGGGTCATAACTTTAACCCCTAGAACCCCTAAAGGCCCTAAAGCTGAGCTTTGTGAGAGGGCCGGGACAAAACCGACAGAACTCTGACCTTGGCGAACTCTTTGGCCAGGTCGCTGGTCCCCGTTCTTGCAGAAGCCTTTCCGGGTGAACTTCGAGCACCTCGAACCGCTCATGGATAGCGGCATTGGATTCTCAAAGAGAGCCAGGGTGGGGGAGCCAGAGGCTCGAGAGACTAAGAGGGGCACAGGCTGGTCTTGTACAGGTCCGGCTGGCTTTGAAGCTGGTCCTCAGAGAGCAGAGGGCTTATTTTGGGCAGGCCTTCAGAGGAAACTGGGCGTTGCTACCCGGCTGTCTCTGTCCTCGGAGTGTGCGAAGGTGCAGCTGTATCCTTTGGTACACCTGCCCGTCTGGTAGAACTTGCCTCAGATCAGCCGGGTGTCTCATGCTGTGGTTGACCTAAACCCCCTCAAGAGATTGCCCACGGCAAGATGCACATGGTAGTCCGGTGGACGAAATCCAAGAGGTTGGCCTTTGGCTTCTGAATGCCCCTGGGCTTCTGCCACATGTAGGCCATGGCTTTCGGAGGGCTCCACAAAGCAAACACTGTCAAGCACGTTTTGTGCCAAAATGCTTCGTCGGAACATCTCATGCAAGCGCAAAGGCGCGGACTTGGAGGGCCCGGCTGTCCACACACCCCCCACCAGAAGCTGAAGGCATGCAAGCGCTTGAAGGCAGCAGGAGTTGGAGAAGCTGTCTCTGCGTCCTGCAACGTGGGGCAGGACCCCCTCAGCAGCTCATGCAGCATGCCGTCGTCGAAGTGGCTGCTCGAGAGCACCTCAAAACCGCGCGCTGTGCTGCGGGAGTTTTTTGCTTTACCGGTTTGCCGCCGCTGGGCTTCGGGCTCTCAAGCTGCCAAGGCGACACGGGCTCAGGAGCGCCGACGCCGTCGCCGCCGCCGCCGCTGCCTCTGAGGACTCTGGGCTTCTCCGAATTTTTGTTGGCTCAGTTTTGCCCGGGCCCTGTCTTCCCGCAGACCTCCAGGAGTCGGAGGTGCAGATCCTGGGAGCCCAAGAAATCAGCGGCGAGCCCCCATTTCCCAGTTTCCTCGGCTCTCTTCGGCAAGGGGCCACCGGCTTTCGACTTCCGGATCGAGGCTTGGCCTAGGTGCCAGGAGTGAAAGAAAGGCCACTCAGGTCGTGGCGTCGTCAACTGAGGCAGCAGGGGTTGGGGGCTGGAGAGCTATACATTCTACATGCCTAGGCTGTCATAGGACATCAAATCTGCCTGCTTTGCTGGACTTCGACAAATTTCGAAGGAAGGCACCTCTTGGAGCACCCGGAAGCCATCCGCATCTTCTACAAGCACACCTCAGCGCTTCAGCTCGCAGAGACTCTTAAGAGACTTCAAAGACTAGACACCGGGGCCACGGCACAAACGACCCAGGCTGGGATATCTCGCTTCGCTCAGAAGGTGGAGGGCCTCAGAACTCTCACCCCCACCGCCCCCTTCTACTACCGTTCTCTGCCGTCTTTTTGTTCACCCCGTCGTGTGACTAGGTTAAAGTCCATCCTTCTCATGATTGCAGCATGACCGGATGAGCCCGGATGAGTGCAGGTGCGTCCTCCTACCAATGTCGCCAGGACATGCAAAGCATCGTCATCACTCATTCTGGAATTCCTTCGCCACCTCAACCGGCATCAGAAGAAGCAACACATCCGGAATCCGGATCCGCGCTAGTAGTGTGAGGTGCGGCTGCAAAGCTGTGGTGCTGCTTCTCTTGCTGAGCTGTTGGTTTCTCTTGGCCTCGCCGAGCTCCCGGCACTCCACAAGTCGGTCCCAGACCCCTGGCGCAGACGCAGAAAAGCGGTGCTGAGCTGCTTGGCTCTCGCTGCTGTGTCTGAAGGAAAAGACGGTCGGCGACACACGGTCTCTCTTTTTTTGGGAAAGGCCGGGGATAGGATCACAAAAACGGCCCCCACTGAGCCAAGGGCTAAGGTGACAATCTTAAAAATCTCAGGATCCCCAGACATGGCTTCGCGCCAGTTCTGGGGGTAGATGCCGTGCGCGCCTGCGAAAAAAAGCACCCGGAAAAGATGGACATGATGCCTAAACCTCAACATTCAGGGGGTATACCATCATATGTATACCGGAGTCCTTACTATATCTGATATCTCCTGCCGTTTACCACTTGAGTCTCTAGACTCGGCAGGCGCCATAGAGGCCAAAAGACCCGACACAAATTTGAGGACTTCCCAGTACACCTGGGCGGCCCAGGAAGTGGGTCCCTAAGTACCGGACCCACTCCACAGCAAAGCAATTCTGAGATTCAGGAAAAAAATCAGCTTTTGAATAGTCTTTCTTGATCAAGGCATTTGCCTCGTCCAAGACTCATCACACTCACGCTCAAGCTAGCAACCCTTTTTTGCAGCGAGTTGCTTCATAGCTCAAGTGCAGCGCACACTTCAGAAATTATTGGTCTTTGGTGGCCCCTCCTCAAACGCGGCCTGAGTACGGCCTCCGAGGGCAAAACCCCACGCTTGCCATAGCTTCAGTGACTCAGGACTCAGTGACGGCGGCCCTGACTCTGGACCAAGCTAGCCATCTCTCTCTTGGCCTCGGAGAGTCTGAGTTTCAATTCATCATCAATTTACGGCTATTCTTTCTCGAGTAGAAGCGCCTGGAGCTTCTGCTTCAGCATGGATCGCTGCTTCTCCTGAGGTTGTTCTGAAATCGCCGAGCACGATGGCAAGGACAGAGCGTAGGCCTGTCGGCTCTTGGAGATCTTCTTCTGCAGCTCTTCCGGGAACGCGGCGCTCATGAACGGGTCCTCTTACAGGCAGCCAGCTGCGTGATGACATCACGGAGCAGATTTCTGCAGCAAAGCAGCCACCACGACAGGGCTGCTTCGTGCAGCCATCTTCTTCTGCAGCTCCTTCTTCATCTCCTGAAGGCTCCCGGGGGCCCAGGTTTCGCACCACCCAGTCTGGCTCCCGCCTCCCGCTGCACACGCTTGATCTCAAAATCCAAGATCTCGTCCTCCGGGGGCAGGGCAGAGTCCCTGAAGCTCTAAAGCTCCTACGCGCTGGCGCGTACGCGTGGAAGCTCCTCGTCCAGCTCGTCTGGGCTGCACTCCTCCTCGGGCTCCACCTCGGCCTACGCAGACACTCCGCGAACATCGCTCTGCCTGGCTCCGCATCGCGCACTCCGCTCTCTCTCTTCTTCCTTCTTCCTTCGGGCGTTTGGGGCATCTCAAGCCCCCCGCCCCTAGGGGCCCCCCAATGTTTGGGGCTTTAGGGGGAAGGCGACAGTCGGCTGGGTTAACAATCCCTCTCTCTCTTTCGCCAGGGCTGTGGTCTCTTTCTGTCACCAGGGCTACGGGCAGAGGTTGCCCTCGGCAACCTTCTTCTTCCTTCGGGTTAGAGGAGCGTGTCAAGCTCCCCGGCCCATGGGGCCCCCCCAGCGTTCTGGGGCTTTCGGGGAGAGTCTACACGTACCACAACACGGCAACCTCTCTCTCTCTCCGGGCGCCCTTAACTTAAGGCCTTCATCAGCAGCAAAGCCTCGAAGTCCTCCACCGACAACTCGTCCTCAGGTCTGCCGGGCCCGGTGATCGGGTGGTGATGTGGATGTTGGGACGAGGGAATGTGAGGATGACGTTCACGATCATGGTGAGGATGCATCTTAATCGTTTCGAATTTCTAATTACTACCCCTGCTAGCTGCTACCATAAACGATGGGCCGGACTACATGACTACGCGCTTCTCGGCCTTCTGCTTCTCCAGGCGCTTCTGCTCCTCCTCCTCGCGTCTCTTTCGCTCCTCCTGCCTCGCCAGCTTCCGAATCGCCTTCTCCTGATATCATCGCGGCCGGAATGTCTCACACAGGGTTTAGGGTTTTGGGCCTGTTTGGGTTTAGGGATTAGCAGGAGTGGTGGCGGAATTCCAGTCCGAGCCGCAGCAATGCCAGTCAAGGAGTATAACCCTACAGCACAAGAACCACCCGGCATAACCACACCCTCTCGAGAGCCACTTAACCACCACACGCAAACACCAGGTTAGAGCCGCGGTCCGCTGCGCTGGGCGGGCCTCCTCCTCCTGCTTCTGGATGGCC